TACTATTATGGTATTATTTTTAATTAGTTTCTTTACGTTTGTGATTAATTGATTTATACATTTGGGTGCTTTCAGGTTTGGAGCATAAATATTTACAATTGTTAGATCTTCTTGGTGGACAGACCCCTTAAGTATGATATAATCCCCTTTTTCATCTCTGTTGCAGTCTTTATTTTAAAATCTGATTGTCTGATATAAGTATGGCTACTCCAGCTTTCTTTTGGTGGCCATTACCATGATAGATGGTTCTCCATCCCCTTACTTTCAATCTGAAGGTATTTTTAGGTCTAAAATAGGTCTCTTGTAAACAGCATATAGATGGATCTTGTTTTCTTATCCATTCTGTTACCCTATGTCTTTTGAATGGAGCATTTACTCCACTGACATTTAGAGTTAGTACTGAAAGATATGAATTTACTGCTATTGTGTTGCTTGTAGAGTTGAAGTTTCTGGTGGTGTTCTCTGGTTCTTTCTAGCCTTTTTTTGGTTTTGTTTGTTTGTTTGTTTGTTTGTTTTGTTTTGGGGTTTTTTTGTCTTTTCTCTCCTTAGAGAGCCCCCCTTAAAATTTCTTGCAAGACTGGCTTAGTGTTCACGAACTCCTTCAGTTTTTGTCTGGGAAACTTTTTATCTCTCCTATTTTGAATGACAGCCTTGCTGGATAAAGAATTCTTGGCTGCATATTTTTCCAATCCAGCACATCGAATATATTGTGCCACTCCTTTCTGGCCTGCCAAGTTTCTGTGGATAGGTCTGCTGTGAACTTGATCTGTCTGCCCTTGTAGATTAAGGACCTTTTCTCTCTTGCTGCTTTCATGATTCTTTCCTTGTCTGAGGATTTTGTGAATTTGACTATGATATGCCTTGTTGATGGTTGGTTTTTGTTTAATCTAATGGGAGTTCTCTGTGCTTCCTGGATTTTGAGGTCTGTGTCTTTCCACAGGTTAGGAAAATTTTCTGCTATGATTTGCTCACATAAACCTTCTACCCCTTTTTCCCTCTCTTCATTTTCTGGGACCCTTATGATTCGGATGTTATTCCTTTTTAATGAGTCACTGAGTTCTCTAATTATTATATTGTGCTCTTTCACCTTAGTTTCCCTCTTTTTTTTCTCCTTCATTATTCTCCATAAGTTTGTTCTCTATATCACTCATTCACTGCTCTGCTTCCTCCATCCTTGCACTGTGTCAGCCATTCGAGATTGCATCTGTTATAGCATTTTAAATTTCATCCTGACTAGATTTTACATCTCTTATCTCTTCAGAAAGGGAGTCTATGCTTTTTTTCAACCCCCAACTAGTATTATTATCATGGTTCTAAATTCTCGTTCAGACATCTTGCTTGTATCTGTGTTGATTAAGTCCCTGGCTGTCCTTTCTTCCTGTTGTTTCTTTTAGGGTGAATTCCTGTTTCATCATTTTGAAGGAAGACAAAGAATTAAATGATAAATAAATAATAAATAAATAAATAAATAAATAAAAATTTAAAACAACACACAAAAAAATCAAATAAAGGATGCCAGATCCTAGGTGTATTTTGTTCTGGTTGTTGACAAAAGCTTGACAGAATGCAGAAAAGAGGAAAAGAAAAAAGAATAAAAAGGAAAAAAAAAAGGAAAACCTTTGAAAATTAAAAAAAATGAATACAATACAATAAAATGAAGGAAGTAAAATAGAATTAAAAAAATTTTTTTAAAGTAAAAAATATAGTGGAAAAAATTAAATAAAAACGTTTTTATAAAATTGGAAAATAAAAACAAAATTTTCTCTGTATTCAAGAATAAGGAAAGAAAAGAAAAAGAAAAAAATTGAATAGGTGGACCAGCTAACAGAATGAAATACGATTGAAATTACATCCAGTTTCCCCTAGAAGTCAAATTATGAGGCACTTTATAGTCTGTAACTAAGCAGGCAGAGACTTGTAGTGTTCCTCTAGAGCACCGTTGCCCCAGTTGAATGGGGCTTGGTGTAATGGCCCCATTCTCCACTAGATGACACTGCTTAGTTTACTGATGTGGATCACTATGACACATGTATGCGCATGCGCAGGAGAGGTGAAAATGGTGTTACCCAGCTACTCAGTCTCTAGTATCAGAACTCTGTGCTCTCGCCCACCAGCAGTCAAGCCACCTCCCCTTTGTCTCTGGCTTCCATCCACTCCATGCTTCTACACTGTCTGTGACCAAGCCATCAGCCTGCCAGGTGGCATCTCCCTCCCGAGTTTTATCTCAGATGGGACTGTCTTTCCCAACTCCTTACTTCTGAGGCCTCGTGGCTTTGACATGCTCAGACCCTCTGGGGGAGGGTCTCATCCAGCAATGGCTGGATGCCCGCGCCTCCCCTGGGAACATTCACACAACTGGGCTGCTGCAGATGCCCAGAGACTGCGGCTGGGTGCCAGCTCACCCCGTAAAAAATTCACACAATGGTGTAGCAGCAGCATCTCAAGAATTGTGGTAAATCACAACACACATCTGGCACCAGGCTTCATCCTTAATGTCCTTGTTCCAACACCAGTGAACGTGGTTGTTCTCCAGGTTCTGCTGGGACTTTTGCCTGTAGGGATGCCACACAGCCTCTACCAAATGTCCTCCCAGCAGGGGAACTGTGTCTCCCCATGTGGCCCGAGGACCCCTCAGACCTCACGGGATTCGCCCTCCCCACCAGAGCTCCACCTAGTATCAAGCTGCAGAGTTTCAGACTCTGTGCTCCCCGGTTTATAGAGTCTTAATGGTATTTAAACCCTCTCTTTTCTCCTTTCTCCCTTTCTTGTTCAATCCATTGTGGGTGTTTCCACTCTTTCTCTTTCTCTCCAGTTGCTTTCATGGGGGGTGCTTTTCCTGTACCCTCCCCCCTCTCTCCAACCTCTTTCTACAAGCAAAAACAGCTCCCTACCCTCTGTGGCTGCTCTCTCCCCCAGTTCACCTCTCCATGCCACCTACCTGCTGAGTTCTGTGGTTGAAGTTGTGCAGATTGTTGTGTTAATCCTCAGCTCAGTTTTCTAGGTGTGCAAGATGGCTTGGTGTTGATCTGGCTGCATTTCAGGGATGAGAGAGGCAAAAAAAAACCTTCCATGCTGCTCGGCCATCTCAGTCCCTCCCCCTATACTGAAATGCCTTTCTAATTTTGATCCTCTTTAACTTTTAATGAATGTACTTTTTATCCCATGCTTCATTCCAAAGACAATTTAGATGCTAGTGGTGAGTTCATTGTTTGATTATAAAATACGTATGTAGCACAGAGTGTGTTATTTTAGTTTCTATACTCCCGGACTCCTGATACAGCACCAGCCTAACACATCGCTGAGTAAGTATCTGTTGAAAAGAGCAGAAGGAAAAGTTCTGAAACTTTATTAAGAACTTGTATTCGTTAAGTTCAACTTCTCTAAAATGAAACTTAAGACAAAATTTCATCTTTTTTATTTGACTGAAGGTAACTGTTGAATGTTGAAGTAGGTAGACAACCCCTCAACCAGTAGCTATCTTTTATTTTCTTTATTAATCTGATAAGAAAATACAGCATTAGAAAAAAGCTCAATAAAAATATAATTCTTCAAAGATGCAATGCTTCAATTAGCTAAAGCAGGAAGTGACAAAATGGATCCAATCCTTTTATTTTTTATTTGTTTTTATTTTTTATTATTTATTTTTTAAATATTTATTTTTGAGAGAGAGAGAGAGAGCATGAGCAGGGGAGAGGCAGGGAGAGAGGGGGAGACACAGAATCCGAAGCAGGCTCCAGGCTCTGAGCTGTCAGTGCAGAGCTCGACGCGGGGCTCAAACTCACAATCTGTGATCGTGATCTGAACCCAAGTCGGACACTTAACCAACTGAGCCACCCAGGTGCCCCGGATTCAACCCTTTTAAATTTTGTTGGTTGTTGTTAAATAATTTAGCTATATGAAGATGCAGAGAGAATGCCTAATAAATGTCTAGCAAACAGTGTAAGAAACAAAGCCTTCCCAATGGGGGCAGGGAGTCTGGAAGGAGTGAGTGGTGGCACTTTGTCTCTTGGGAGTCTGTTACTCAACCACCCAGGGACAGCCTTGGGATCTGGAGCCATAGCAGAGTGAGATGTGGGTGAAAGGGCTCCTTCTGCCAGGAAGATGCTCTGAAACCCCCTTACACTTGCTGCTTATGGCTCCACAAGGGGCGGTGCTTCCTGGACAGATGTATGGAGTGGGGACTAGAAGAGCCTCCGGTTGACCTCCCAGCCAAGGACTTTAGGAGTAGTTGGAGGCACCCCATTCCTCCTCAGTTTTAGAAAATCCCCAAGAGACCCTTAGTTAGGGATTTACACAACTGGATTGCCCCAGACTTCCCGAAGGAGGAGGAACTTCTTGTTGCTTTTGCAAAGAAATGAATCATTTGGAAAACTTGGGACTCTAGATATTCCCTCAGAAGACTTTTCTAAGGAGAGGCGGGCACAGAGAGAATGGGGGCATGACACTAATGTGAAAAACCCGAGAAGCACAGCCGGGGAATCATTTATTTGCTTGCCTGCTTCCTACATCAGGATCTTAGGAAAGCCTCTCTCCAAAAGGATCCAAGATCCCTGGAAGGGCAGCAGCGAGGGGTGAGGACAGGTTTTAGGAACAAAGCGGGCTCAGCGCTGAGCAGAACAGACTTAACAGATCTTATTGCCAAACTGAGGACAGTGTTCCATCCCAAGGGCAACCCCTCCTTCAGAGAGGGCTTCTAGAGGAAATCATAAAGAAAAAACTCAAGCTGTATGTTGAAAAAGCTAAAAGTACCCAAACATCTGTGAGTATCAGGACATCTTAAAATTTAAAGTTTACTGAGAAAGAAGGTGAGCACATGTGTGGCTCAGTCGGTTAAGTGTTTGGCTCTTGGTTTCAGCTCAGGTCATGATACCACTGTTTGTGAGATCAAGAGTCAGGTTCTGCGCTGACAATGCAGAGCCTGCCTGGGATTCTCTCTCCTCCTCTCTCTCTCTCTCTCTCTGAAAATAAATAAATAAGCTATTTTTTATGTGAAAAAAAAAAAAAAGAACGAAGGAAACCAGCAATGATAATGGTTATTCTCCAGATGCAGGTAGAGATGTCCCTGGAGTTGAGTCTATCCTTTTGGCACTTGTAAGGCAAAAAATTAACTCTGCTGACAGAATGTTAAACTAAAGGAAAGGAGGGATCCTTTCTCAGAAGAACTTACATCAACTTGTTTCAGTTATTTTTACAGCAGGTTCTTCTGCAGAGATTGCCCAGAGAATTGAGTCATTCTAGTACCAGGGACTTTTGAACGAAAGGCTAGGGATTAATTTCCAGCTCTTGATTAGACTGTAGAGTCAGTCTACCAGTTCTAGAAGAAACCTTTGCTATTCTTCAGTTTAACTCGCTTAATTTGCAGGAAAGGGCCTTAAGGTCCTGAAAGATGGATGATCATACAAGTCAGTGACAGCTGGCCTTGCCATCTTATTTCCTGACACCAAAACTGTTTTTTTTTGTTTTGTTTTTTTTTTTTTTTTTTTTTTTTTCAGAACAACCCAAAAGCTCTGCTGGGCTGGAGAATATGCTCAGAGTTGGCTCACCTGTGAAAGACAGTTAAGGTAATTGACTTAGGTAATTGACTAAGGTAATTGACTAAGGTATTGACTTCCGGTTGGGAAGTGACTTGTTCGGACATAATGGAACCTGTCCAGAGGCAGGAAAATAGATATGGACCAGTTTCTACTTACTTATTCCCCGTGATAAGAAGGAAGAAAGTTCAAGTTTCCACACTCCCTTTCAGGCCTCCTATTTATTCTAAAGTAAGAGTCTGTGAGTAATTTTGAGTGAGTTGGTTGAATTATGAGAAGCACGAGGAATTCTAGTCGCTCTCTGTGTTCAGTACCGTCTGAGAGGGAAGACCGAGCTTGAGATGAGATCTTTGGGTTTTGCTTCTCATTATGGTTTAAAGGAGGGCATGAGGTGGGGGGGGGGGTGCGTGGCAGAAGTTAAGAGAAAATGAGGTTACAATTCAGTTACTCTTCCACGGAGAGTATATGTTCTGAATATGCTTTCTTTTACAAATCTGTATGGCAGGTTCCTAAGTACAGTGGGCCTTCAGATGGGCTTGGGGCTACTTGTTCAGATGTTGGAGAACCTTGACGGGATCACGGAAGGTGTGACCCAGCTTTGTCTCTCTTCCTTTCCCGTTGTCTCACTGTTTTACCCAGGCCACAACTGCTTTGATGGGAACAGAATGAAACAGGAAAGGGAAGCATAGGAACAGGAGAAATAAGAACTTTTAAAGAGAAAGAACCCGAGCTGGTCTTCACAGCTACCCTCCAGCCCCACGTGCACAACTCCATACAGCTGGCGCCTTAGAAATACAACCAACAAATCTATACGCTCAGCCTGTTTCTTTCTCTCTTTTTGCCATTATAACCAAATGTTTGTTGGACTATGTAGCATCTCCTTGTCGCTCTTCTAATCCATGGCAGAAATCTTAACTTGACAGTAATTCACTCCCATGGTGTTTTAAGAAGAAGGTGTAGAAAAAGTGTGGGGAGGTAGAATAATATATATTTGTACAGATTGTATGTATATAAAGCCTCCCAGATTTCTGGATATTTTTCATTTTGATGGGCAGTTCAATTCAGCCTGATGTATATACTTTTCTTTTATTTAAAAAAATGTTTTTTAACATTTATTTATTTTTGAGACAGAGAAAGACAGAGCATGAACGGGGGAGGGTCAGAGAGAGGGAGACACAGAATCCAAAGCAGGCTCCAGGCTCTGAGCTGTCAGCACACAGCCTGACGCAGGGCTCGAACTCACAGACAGTGAGATCATGACCTGAGCCCAAGTCAGACGCTTAACCGACTGAGCCACCCAGGTGCCCCTGATGTATATAGTTTCATGAAGTATTCTTCTCTTATCTCCCCATTACTTCCTCACATTCAGAAACCTCATTGTTCTCTTTATTATGTAATTTTATAATGACATATTCCTATCGGACTTAAGCCTTTGTGCAAATATTAGCTCCCTTCATTATCATAATTGCAAGTGAGGGGAGGTCTTATAAAAAGCACTGAATTTGGAATCAGGAAATCTATGGTACATTTCCACCTCTGACATTTGTTTACTGAGTTTGGATAAACTATAAGATCTTTTGACGCCACATTTCCTTCATCATAAGACAAAGACATTAAACACCTTTCCTATCTTCCTGACAAAGTTGTGGGAGGTGTTGGGTGAGATCCTGGGCATCAATGCAGGAAGGATTGGAGATACAGATAAAGAAATGAAGGCTCAGAAAGATTCACTTAGTAAATGAAGGAGAGTCATTACAAAGGTATCTACATTTTATACTGAAAGCTTTTTATTTTTAAGAAAGTCTGAGAGCTATATGTAAGTGTGAATAACCTCAGCTCTACAATTTAGGTTGAGACCGACCTGAGAATATGTTTTTATATTAGAATTTTAGACTTTATAGAAAAGGATCTTGTTACCATTTTAAAACTTGATGCTACTAATTCAAATAAAGTAAAATTTAAATAAAGTTGTCACACAGTAGAAAATATTATTTCCTCCCTGATGACACGTACACAGTAACAGTCGCAGTAATTCCTCTGTATGCGGCACTTCTGATCTTTCATGGTGGGACGATGGCCTTACTTATTGTGCAAATATTTGAAATACATTTCTACCACTAGAGGGAGACAGAACCATAAGAGATCAAAGTTCACTTGCCTGTTTAAAAGAATGAAAAACCCCTCATCCTCTAATAATTGCTTATAGAAAGGGACATATACATTGGTTAATACAATGTGATAATTTTCTTTGATATTTTAATATGCTGGTTTAAATTTTTAATACGTAATTAATACTAAAGCTTGACACATGTAAAGGTTCCAGGTAATTTCCAGATGCCATATTACTACCTCAAATCTCTGGGACTGAATCACAGAAGATGGTCAGTTGTGTTTAGAACCTAGTTTTCTCTTTAACATTGGTAAACAGGCTAATAAAAGCTATTATATAGAGCTACTTTCTGTCTTGGAATTTAAAAAAAAATTTTTTTTTTTTTTTTTTTCAGAATAAGCCTCTATGGATGCATGTGCTCCATCAATTCTGCCTAAAATTCTGTTATTGTCGTACTATATATTCAAGACAATTTTCAAACCAGAAACAACTTCCTTTATTATTTCTCTAGTTATTGTCTACAATGAAAGTATTTTTAAGTACATTACTATGTGCTTATACGTATATATATGTTTTTTTGTTTTTTTAAAGTTTTATTTATTTATTTATTTATTTACTTACTTATTTTAAGAGAAAGAGAGAGAGGTTGAAAGGGAGAACATGAGCAAGGGAGAGGCAGAGATGGAGGGAGAGAGAATCCAAAGCAGGCTCCAGGCTTTGAACTGTCAGCACAGAGCCTAACCCAGGGCTCAAACTCCTGAACCATGAGATCATGACCTGAGCTGAATTCAAGAGCCCAATGCTTAACCAACTGAGCCACCCAGGCACTCCTGTGTATGTATGATTTTATAATTTAATATATATATATATATATCTTTTTATAGGACATAGATCATAAAAGTAAGATTTCTAGGTTAAATATTAAATGTATTTAAATGTGATCATATACTGCCAGATTACTATCTAATTGTTGAAACTGACACTTCTGTCACTGATGTATAAGTTCGCTTTACCAAAATCTTTTTAACTCTGAATGCTTCAAATTTTGCCAGGCTGATTAGTGCAAATCAACTTATAGTTTTTATTTGCACATCTTTGAACATGTGTGAGATTGAATTTCTTTTCATATTGCTATTGGCTATAAGGAACTTTTCCTCTGTAATTACCTACTTGTTGGCTTACCCAATTTCTTGTTTGAGTGCTTGCCTTTTTAGTTATAGAGTTAGTTTTATGTTAGATATTAATTTTTTATCTATTATATTGGTTGCGAATATATTCTCTCTAGCGTACATTTATAGAGACTTTGCCATATGTAATTTCAAAGCTAATCAAATATTTTTCTTTAGAATTTTTGGTTTTCTAGTATTGTTCAAGTTTATTCAATTGTTATTCTCAATTCTTATCAGATATATGTATGCTTTCACAAAAAAACAATAAAATGATATATGCATATTTAAATGGTAGATATTTCTTCTACCTGGATTTTACTTATGTAAATGATGTATGCAGTTATCTTTTTTTTCTTCCAGAACAATATGCATTTATGCTGGCCTCATTTTTATAAAATACACCTAGTCTTGGGTGCCTGGGTGGCTCAGTCGGTTGAGCGACTGACTTCGCCTCAGGTCATGATCTCACGGTTCGTGGGTTCGAGCCCCGCGTGGGGCTCTGTGCTGACACTTTAGAGCCTGGAGCCTGCTTCGAATTCTGTGTCTCCCTCTCTCTCTGCCCCTCCCCCACTTTTGCACTGTCTCTCTCTGTCTCTCAAAAATGAATAAATGTAAAAAAAAATGTTTTAAATACACCTTTCTTCTTCTACTGAGTTAAGACATCAAATTCATCCTAAATCAAGTTTCCATATGATGTTAGATCTGTTTCTGCATTTAAACATTTCACTATATTGGTCTATCTATTCTGAAATATAGATTAGTACCTTTTTATGATGAATTGAATTTTATACTTTGACAAATCTTGTTTTGAATAATTAAAGAAATAGAGCAATGGTTATTGTGAAAATTACAGTAACTCGCAAAATCAGTGTAATGCACTCCTGATAATGAGAATAAGCAATTTCACATGTTCCTCTTTCTGAGGATAAATCTTGGTGATTCCTAGTTTTCCTGAAACCTAAATACAACACAGGGCTTTTTTAAAAAATAAATTTTCCGTGATGAATAGTTCCATTGTCTTGATTTGAATTTTTTTTTTTCCTTACAGTAAATAACTGTTTTCTCGGAGCAGCATGGCAGACTGTCCCCTATTATAAATTACCTTCACTTAGCAAGACCTTTCTCTCTGAGTGGGACTTTCAGTAGGGGAAAGCCTGTGTCAGCTGCTTGACTGTATGCTCGCCTGATTGGAATGTATTTCTCCCAATCTCTCCTACAAAGAGTCGCAGAACTGCGTTATGTAAAAGTCATCCTATGGTTTGGAACATATTCCCTTAAAGTATGGGCTTTTGATTGGTTGTTTTAATAATATTAGCCCTGGCTGTAATGCTTAAATTCATATATCTGCTTTGCCAAAGATATAAATACTTGTGAGCCTTATTTTTATGGAAGAGCTTTGAAATTTTCTTTTTTCCCATTATTCAAAAGATAAAGTAAAATCCACAGTCTTGCTGGATTCTTTATTCAAACAGAGAGTTAAGAATCCTTGTCTCTTTTGAATGAATAACTGTTTGGGGATTGAATGATTCAGCTAAGGCGGAGTGCATGCTAACAGAGGTAAGATTAATCTCCATCTGGAACGCAGAGGGAAGACTGTCTTCTGCCATCTGTCCCAGCCGCTGGTTATTACTGAGGTTGGATCCACAGGATTCAGACCTTTTTGTTTTGTTTTGTTTTTAATGACATGAGGCTGTCTGCAAGGCTTTCAACTTAAAGATGATTAAACTCTGTTTTTAAGAGTCTCTTATGCTTTGACTCTCTCCCACTCTAACCTCTTAAAAACTGAGAACAGGGGCGCCTGGGTGGCGCAGTCGGTTAAGCGTCCGACTTCAGCCAGGTCACGATCTCGCGGTCCGTGAGTTCGAGCCCCGCTTCGGGCTCTGGGCTGATGGCTCAGAGCCTGGAGCCTGTTTCCGATTCTGTGTCTCCCTCTCTCTCTGCCCCTCCCCCGTTCATGCTCTGTCTCTCTCTGTCCCAAAAATAAATAAAACGTTGAAAAAAAAATTTAAAAACTGAGAACAAACTGAGGGTTGATGGGGGGTGGGAGGGAGGGGAGGGTAGGTGATGGGTATTGAAGAGGGCATCTTTTCGGATGAGCACTCGGTGTTGTATGGAAACCAATTTGACAATAAATTTCATATATTAAAAAAAAGGAAAAAATAAATAAATAAATAAATAAAAATAAAAGTAAAAAAAAAAAAAAAGATGATTAAACTCCTTAATTCCCCATTTCTGGTTTGATACTTCACCTAGTGAACTGGTTAGAACCCTAGTCCGGTTAAGGGCAGGAAACAGGTTGCTTTCTTTGGGCGAGTTGAGTGAGGGTCCAACAGAGGGAGGTTTGTTTCTGTGATGTGAGTAACCCAGCAGTGGAGCAGTGGAGCTCTGGAGCTCTGTGGACACACAGGGTGAATAAATACCATCCCCTGGTGGATAAATTCATTGTATGATGGTCTTGTTCTCTGAAGCTCACTCAGGGCAGTGACAGGCACCTCTGGGTTGAACAGAGGCTCCCCCTGCCCTGGTTCATAGTTCGCTA